AAAGTTGGTGGTTCAAACCCATCAACCATTTCTTGGAAACTCTATACAGAGTCACTATGAGTTGGAATCAACTCACTGTCACTTATCAAGTTCAGTATATGAACATATCCGTTAGCTTATCTGTTTATCAGTTGTTTCATTTTTGAGTGATTATGAAAAAACTGCTAAAAACATCCTCATACACATTTTTGTGTAAACATAGGTTTTCATTTAACTTGAATAAATTAAACTGCCAAATTATTTTTCCAATGTGTCTATACTATTTTGCAATGTGTGGAGTTCCAGTTGCTTCACCATTTTTCCAACACTTGGTTTTGTAAGTGCTGTGGTTGTTGTTATGCGCCATTGAGTAGTTACGACTGTATTGGGTTTCCAAGGAGTGACTGGTGGGTTAGAGCTGCCAACCTTGTGGTTATCCTGAAGTGTCACAGCAGTTATATACACATCGTTATACTTTGTCAGTATAACACACACATACACATACATGCACGAGGGTAAGTCAAACAAAAACATCAAATGTGAAGCTATTGTTTCTGGCTTATTCTCCATCTAGGTCTATATACTTCTGAAGGGGGTGTTTCTATCTCTCTAACCCTTCCCAAAGAATTTTGCACTCGTCAGTTTACACCGTGTCAGTATGGCAGTTTAGGCATCCTAGAGGGACTCTCATTGTATTCCAAGACCAGAGCTGTAAGATGTAAAGGGGTAAGGTTTCCCAACAAAATTCTCAGAAGACAGCCCTTGCTAGTCTCGAAGAATGAGTAGGTGCATTGTCATGATGGAAAAAAATTTCCTGGGAGCCACTTTCCGAGCCTTTTTTTCTCAACAATGCAGTTTTCAGTTCCTTAAAACTTCATAATAAACCCCCATAATCATCCTGCGTGTTTCGTGAAAATATATCAAGAGTATCTATTAGAATCTATAACCTTTTGAGATGACTTCTCTGCCTTAAATTTAACTAACCTACCAGATTCCCTTGGAAACCACTGTTTTGCTTGGACCTGGATTTTTTTTTGGAAGGCAACCGAATGAGACTAAGACAAGCACATTACTTAGAGAATTTGTCTGCAGCCACCCACGGATCGCAGAAACATGTTGAAACATGTTTCGAATAAGCCTGTGCATGTATGAACTAGATTTCTAGGAGCAAAACTTTTGGCTTACCCTCGTGTGTGTGTATGTGTGTGTGTGTGTGTGTGTGTGTACATATATACACACACACATACATAATTCTCAAACCTGTGCAGTGATATCTCATGGTTTGGATTTGCATTTTTTCAGTGACTAATAATGTTGAGCCTCTTTTCATATACCCATTTGCCATCCATGTATCTTCCTTGGTGATTCTTCAAATCTCATTTTTAATTGGACTTTATGTCTTTTTATTGTTGAGTTTTGAGAGTTCTCTATATATTCTCCATATAAGTAAGTCCTTTTTCAGATGTGTTTATCATAAATATTTTCTCCAGACCATGGCTTTTTTTTTTTTTTTTAATGTTTTTATTCATTTCCTCTTTGTCTAAGCAAAAACTTAAAATTTTTGTGTTCTATTTGGCATTTCCTTTTATAGGTCATGTTTCTGGAATAGTATGTAAGAACTCTTTCTTAATATAAGGCCATATGAGTTAATATTTGTTCAATCATTTTTAAACCACGAGAACTAGTGAAGGAAACATTGTCAAATACCAGTTTCTCCTTAGCACAGTTTCCTTTTGAAAAGCAGTGAGATTCTCATTCACTGTTAAAATGTCACCTTTTCATTGGAGGATCAGATACAGTGTTTTTTTCTAAAATACAGTTATACGCCACATTTCATCCATTTGGGCCACATTTGTCTGCATACACAGCTGTGGTCCCATCCGGGTGTAATAAGTTTGCCATATAACAGTGTATGCTTTGATCCTTAGGCAGCAGCATCTAATTTCATGTATCACAGGGTCTCTTAAGTTTTGTAGCATTATCTCTCTTTTTCATTTTCTTTTGAAAATATTACTGTGAAGTACATCATGGCTCCCAAACTCAGCAAAACCAGAGTTGATGAGAACAGTAGCAAGAGGCAAAGAAGTCTTGGTCTGAAAGTGAAACAAAGGTTTTTAAACAAAATGAAGGGGACAGATCAGAGAATGCTTTCACTCCTAGTTTAGGCAGATCACACTCGATTCTCAAATACAAAGATAAAATTTTCCAAGCTGTTAGAGAATTGACTACACTGAAAGTTATGTGGCTAATGAAAATGTGGAGAAATTCCTAATGACATGGATTGAGGACCAAACACACAAGCAAATCAGCACACTGACTATCACAGCTAATGCATAAAGTTTGTTCTAAATGCTTAAAGATAAAGCACAACCAGATTATGATATGGTGTTCCCACAACATTAAAATAATATAATGCCTTGCTTCACAGACTGTATCATGGGCAGTTAAGTGACGCATGACTTTACTGCAGAATATCACATGGTTGTCTTTTACTTTAGCTAGAATGACAAGAATGCTTATCTTTTTGTATAGAAGAAAAATACCTTTACATTTGTTAGCTAAGTCAAACCCTAGCTGTATCCTCCAGTAAATGTCTTTGTTGCACTATAAGAAAATGATAAAAGATAGACCAGCTTCATTATTGACATCCCATAGCACAAAAACAATTGTGGTCATGCTATGCCAAAAGCAAAGGCGGGAGGGACATCACCTTGACTTAAAGGAGCCAGACCAAAAAAACTACATACTATATGATTCGATCTGTGTAAATTCTAGAAAAAATGAAACAAGCAGATAGAGTGAGGAGGGGAGTGAAGAATGGATTACAGAGGAGGAGTAGAAGATTGGTGATAGAAGTGTCCATAATTTGACGTTGTGATGGTTTCACTAGTATATATTATTGTTGTTAAGTGCCGTTGAGTTGATGTTTTATTTGGCATTTCCTTTTGTAGGTCATGTTTCTGGAATAGTATGTTAAGAACTCTTTTAAATACAAGGCCACAAAGATTTTCTCCTGAACATTATTCATTTTGCCCCCTCTGATGGAGGTGGTGCATTCTGACTCATAGGTGACCGTATTACAGGGTTTCCAAGGTGTGACTGGTGGATTTGAACCACCAGCCTTGAAGTTAGAAGTCCAGTTCTTAATCCCACAGCATCACAGCAGGACTCCATGCATCAAATTATACACTTTAACTACATATGGCTTTACCTTAACTATATATGGCTTTACCTTAATAAAGCTGTTAAGGGAGGAGGAGGGAGAAATTTCAGATGATTAACTCATAATATTGTGTACTCAATTTTCATGTGCAATATCAGAGAGAAATTGAAGGTATGGCCTCAAGGAGTTCACATTTGGAAAGATAATGAATTTAAATCCAAGGTGCTAAGAAGAAGAAAATCGTGAGGTGCAAGAGGCATCCAGAACATTGTACCAGTGGGCGTCTGCTCTTAGAATGGTCAGGGAAAGCTCTGTGGAAGAGGGAAATCCAAACTAAAGCTTAGGACTGCTCAGGGGAAGCACTTACCTACCAGAAGTGACAATGTGAATGAAACTGGTGGAATCCGAGTTCAGGAACGATACATGGTTCATCCTGACTGGAACAGAGAACACAGTGGCAAAGGCAAGGCTGAAAGGGAAAGGGTAACCAGGAGCAGATTGTGAAGGGATTTTATTGCTCTAGCTGTCCTTGAGCTCTCTAAATCTGTGGCCATTGATCCTAAGACATGGTCTCATCTGAACAGTTGGCATGAACTTTTAGCTTCTAGGTGTTGAGGCTGTGACTCTCATAGCTGTTCAATTCTAGCCTGGGAACTCTAACATTCCCTGTGGGTATTTTAAGACCAGCTGCACCTGGGAGTGAAGGCTTCTGGTGCATTTGAATGTGAGAGGTAACCAACAAACCATCTGTCCCATCAGCACTTTTTCCCCAAGTAGAGAATTTTGCCTTTCTGACTGGCAGCGCTGAACCCTGAAGCCCTGTGTCTGGCAAAAGGATTGTCTCATGTGTCTGTGCCCTGTCTGGTGCTTTCCTACCCTCTGGTCATCTGTTAACTAGTCAGTCCTGGATTTTTTTCAACTGCTGGATAACAGAGGTCATGGGTGTTGCTTGCTTGCTCATTCATTCATCCGTCACTCAGTTACCCATTTTAGAGAACGTTTTTCCAAGAAGATCAGGATGTGTAACTCGGGATATGATTGTCAGACCATATTAAAAATGCAGGCAACAATGCAGAACATGGCTGGCTCATGTCAGCCAGATGTCCCGTGTAACCAGAGCAGGAACACACAGAGAGGGAGAGCCTGTGTTAATGAAAGTAGATGCCAAACTTCATGCAAGAGCTGGCTCCTGTTTCAACTGTTCTCTGCCACCCTCCGGCTGGAAGAAAGAAGCTCATGTTTAAGCTAGAGTTTACAGTAGGATTGCTGCTTAATGAGCATTTCTGTGATCTAAAGATCAAGTTACTTACACTTGTAAAGGAGAGCTCCCGTGCACCCATTCAGGAGGATTATGACTGTTAGAATCTGATAGAGGAGGCGAAGAGAAGCGAAGCCACGAAGCCGTTTGTTTCTTTAATGCCTTTTGCAGAGCTGAACCGAGAATATGAGCAAAGTGCCTATTTTCGTTTCCATGCCTTAGCAGCCAACACTAGGAAAGCTGTGACCTGCACAGATAAAGTGGGACCAGGAAAGGCAATTTGGATTAATTATTTCAGGTGGATTAATTATCTCAGTTGGTGCCAGGAGGGAAGATGTTTTTAATGACATTGTGGAGTTTAGTGTTGTTTTTTTCATCTTCTCACCTGGACTGGTCTGAGCTGTAGCTCTGTTTATTCTGCCTTTTCCTCCCCTGCCTACCCCTATGCCATCTGCCAGCCAGGCTGTTGATGGGGCTCAGAGCTCCCTTTGGCTGTGTCAGTCCTAGAAGGCCCTGACCACTGTGATTTGGGGCTGGTGTCCTGAATGTGGGTGGGTGATGGTGGATATCTAACTACCGATTTGTTTTCTTGCATTTCAGTCATTTCAAGGAAGCCAAGGACGAGCATACCTCTTTAATTCAGTGTGAGTGTCCCTAAACAGTATGCCCATTTTTGGTGCAAATTTTGAGGGATGGGGAAAAAAAAACCCTGGACAACAAGTAAACATTAGGCTCTGTCTTCTGTGCCACAATGGAAAACTCCTTGAAGTTTCATACTCCCCACTGTTTGTTTGGGGAATTTTGGCTAACAACAATATATCCACTTCCCCCAGTAGACATATTGGGATTAGGACAGCTTCACAGTCTCTTAATCCTCATAATGTGGTTCTTGTTTCAATGAAGATTAGAGGCCCTGTGCTCTTTGAACTGTAGTTGTCTGATGTTATAAGATTAAAAGCATTTGTTAGAAAAATTACATAAATTCCAAAGCAAAAATCTCAACTATACAGACTTATTTTTAGTCATCCCACTGAAGCTGAATGTGGAGATAAGAAATGCATTCCAGGGGAGACATTTCCATGTGGCTACGTCTTGGGGTGGTTGTTGATTTCAGTTATACTCCATACTCTTCTAGGTTTTGGTTTCCCCAGGGAAGCCTTGCCAAGTTAATTTTTGGTTGGAAGCTCATCTGGAATGACTAACAATGTACTTCTGACTGACTACCCGCTCTCTCTTTTGTCCCTTGGTGTAGAGTTAATGTAGGCTGTGGGCCTGCAGAAGAGCGAGTTTTGCTAACAGGACTGCATGCAGTCGCAGACATTTACTGTGAAAACTGCAAAACCACTCTGGGCTGGAAATATGTAAGTACTGAGGCTTCTGGTTGGTGGTGAGAGGCCTATGAAGGAAATAGCCAAGAGCTTCACACTAGAACAGAGCTTTTTTCCTTCTTGCTCCTATGGTCATGTGGGACAGGGAACAGAGCTAATCTGTCTGCCACACTTTCTTCCTTTTCCACTGACAGTCCCCTCCTCCTACTCATTTCTTCATACCTGCCAGACAGACAGACACACATCCCCTGTCTTTCTTTTGATTTAATAAATAATAATAATATTGCATAACATTTACTGACAGTCGTGTGCTAGGCATGCATCATTGTATTTACTCTTCACACAAGTCATAGAGGGTAGATACAGTTTTGATCCTTATTTTATAAATGGTGAAACTGAGGCTTAGGTTGGGTAAGTAGTCCATCCAAGGTTATCTAGCCATGAAATGGCCAAACCAGGATTGGAATTACTGCTCTTATCTGGTACACTGTGATGCCTCCAGTAAACATTCCTACCACATCTAGGCCCAGCGCCAGGAGCCATCAAACATTCTCTTAATTAACATCCACCTTCAGCTATAGGCACAGTTGGACTCTCCCAGTTGGGCAATCATTCTTTCATACTTAAACTCAACAAAAAATGTGAATGTCTTTTTGGGGCCGAGGACGGTAAGTAGTCACTTGTCAGAGTAAGAGAAGAACAGGGCAGGGCCATAGTCCCTCTGGCTAGCAGTAAAGTAACATCTGGGCAGCTGAAGTGAGTTTCCAATAGAAGTGAGCTGGTATTCTTGTTAATTGTTATTGCAAAATTAGTCTTCCTTCCTCTGGGAGGTCAATTTACTCCACGTAAAATCCCTCAGCTTGCTGCCAATGTGACCTGCCATTGGCTATCGAGAAATGTTTTACCTCTTCATTCTGTTCTCAGCCTTTTGGTCGTCATCTCCTTCTGGATTAGAGACGGAAGATAAACCTAAATTGTTTAGTTTTGCCTCCTCACTTGTGGTTCAGCTACAGTGATTCACTCATTTGACAAATCTTTATTAAAAGTCTTTGACAAGCCCAAGCCCTGGTTAATGCTGTGTTCTCTTGATGGCCTTGAGGGCAGGAACTGATCAAGGCATCCTAAGAAAACAACTTGACAAGTGCTGTGATATGCTGAGGACAGTAGGAAAACATGGATGAAGGGCTATGTAAGAGATTCCATTAGTTACTCCTTGGACCCCAGGGATAGCTAAGAATGGCTGTCGCTTTCTCTCAAATCATCTCATGTATTTATCTCCTTTTCTGTGTCAGGCCCAGTGCTTGGTTTTCCTTCTAGCTCTTACAACAACCTTGTGAAGTAGCTGTAATTATCCCCATTTTGCAGATGATGGAATGGAAAGTCTGAATAGATAAGTGAGGCTTCTGTTGCTGGGAAACAAGCAGATTTGAACGCAGTCCTGGAGTTGAGACTCTAGATCTAGTGCTCTTTCTCCTGGAGTCCAGTTCTGACATTTTGAAGATGCTGGTGAAGCTTGGGGCCTTTGTCATTTTTTTGTTTTGTTTTGTTTTTTTGTTTCCTTTTTGTCTTTCTTTCAGCCAGGTACTAACCAGACCCGATACTGACTGCTTAGCTTCCAAGATCAGATGAGATATAGGGCACGTTCAGAGAGGTGTGACCACAAACTTTTGTTTTCTACTTAATAACAATGCCTTCATTCTCCCAGTTTTGCTTTCTTCTCCCCCTGCCCTGAACACACTGGTATGTGACAGTAGATCTTATTCCTGACCGTTGTTCTTCTGTTGTATGTATGCACGCACATATAGAGAGAGACACCTGGAACTGAGGAATGATGAAATGTCAGGGAAAGTTCTGCTGAGTCTACAGCTCTCGTTGGTGTGTGGTGTGTTTGCACACACTCACTTCCCTCTCTACTTGGTGAAATAATTCCTCTCTCAAAGCACGAGACCCAAGTCTGAACTGTTTCTGAAACTCAAAGCCCCCCTGAGCTCTAAGAGCGAGAGATGTAGTTCATACAGAGGCTGTCCTACCACTGACAGCAGGATTTTGTTCCTGAGGAATTCAGGGGACTCAGAGGAAGAGCAGGTGCTCATTGCTTGTGCACTTTGGACCTAGGCATGTGATAACTCTGATAATTGTGTTTTTCACATGATATATCAAGGTGTTCTTATGTAGCCATCTCCGTAAATAGTTCTGGTATCCTTCATCCTGTGTTGGAGAGCCCACAGTGCTGTAACTTTAGAAAGGTAACCTTCCAGGTGGCTTGTATTGAGTTGGCCCTTGGGAGGTCTGGCCACTGACAGCCTCTCCAGCCTAGAGTACATCCAGTGCCTGTCTTTCCTGGAGAGAGGCAGTAAAGGAAAAGCAGACTTAACACATCTGACATGGAAACAGCAAGATAAATGAAATAAAAAGATTGTTTGACTTCACAGTCCTTTGCTTCTCTTGCTGAATGCCTTTTCTCTAAGCACAACAAAGTCGGTTAAAAAATATAATCAGACTTTTCTGTGTTCCTTGGTGGGAAGGACACAGAAACTTTATGTGGACACATCTGGTTTGCTTCACAAAGCAAGGTCTGCTAAGGCTTGTGTACATACACAAACACACACTTTCTTTTGACAGTTACTTATTGAAGACTGCCAGGCAATCTTTTAGGCACTAGTGATATATTGTTGTTGTTAAGTGCCATCGAGTCGGTTCTGACCCATAGCGACCCTGTATGGCAGTTTCCGAGGAGAGACTGGTGAACTTGAACCACCGACTTTGCAGTTCAAAAGCCTTTGCAGTCTGACACATTAGCCCATAGCACTACGCTAGTGATATAACAGTGAGCAAAACATGAACATCTCTTGGCCTCTGTTAAGTTCATATTCTAGCGATGGAAGGCAGGCATTAAACAAAATATATGCAAATTATAGTGCGTGCTTGAAAAAGGTGGAGGCTGTGAGGAATAAAGGGGGGGGCAGAGGGAGTGCTTGGGTGGGAGTTGTGGTTTTGAGCAGTATAGTTGGGAAAGATTTAGCATAGGCCCTCCGGAAATGAGGAAGCGCTGCCTCCCTCGGTTCTACAGGGACGTGAAGGGGACACGAGTGGTAGGAAATGTCTTGGTGAGTGTGTGTGAAATCAGTGTGAAATCAGTACCAGACCTCAGTGGTCCTGACATTTACCATCAGCTATAAAAAGTCAACTGCTTGTCTCTCGTCATTCAGCATCTTTTTTCTTTCCTCTTCATTTTCTAGGAACATGCCTTTGAAAGCAGCCAGAAGTATAAAGAAGGCAAATACATCATTGAGTTAGCACACATGATCAAGGACAATGGCTGGGACTGATTGGAGAAGTCCCCCAACCCAGTGTCCACGTGAATACCATCCAACTGAACATTCTACCCAAGTGTGAGAGAGTGACTGAACACTTGGTTCCGTCCATTTAGAGGCCTTGCCATCTGAGGCATCGCCCACCTTGATGACATCTTTCTGGTGACTGGTCTCTAAATTGCTGTCTCTCTGTCTCTTTGCTTTGTATCTGTTTGTGAGTTGATCCTGGCTTCTCTATCTGTTCTAGTGTTGGCTAAAAACAGAACAACAAAAGAAACAGATGTCTGATTGCATGGCAGCAGCCCACCTTGATAGGGACCCCAGGGTCCAGTCAAAAGCTGCCCGATGGCCTCTTATCAGGAGTACAGTGGCACAGGGGTGAGAGGAAGGAGGGAATGGGGAACCTTGAGGGTCTTGGGAACGGGTAGGGGGTGGGAGGGACAGAATTGTGCTGCTCCTGGTAATCTAGGCTTGAAATAATCAACTTGTCTAAAAGGACAAAGAGAAAAAAATACCTCATGACTGCACTGTCTCTGACCAGAATCTTCTGTTCCTGACACCAGTTGTGCCAGGTTAGCAAATGAGCACAAGAAGCGGCCCTAATTCTAGCTGATGGGGCACAGTCCTGGATCTCCTAGGCTGCGCTGGGGAGCTTTCCTGGCAGCAGTCGATGACTTGAGTGAAGCCCGAGTGGGGTTTGGGTGACTTTGATGCCTCACTGCGCCTTGGAGTTTCTCTTCTTCTTTGCCTCTTCAGTCACAGTAGGGAAAGGGGCCTGTCATTTGCTATGGGTGTAAGATCCAAATATCCCAAAGGCTTTAACTAATAACCAAGTAAAATCTGTAATTAAGGTGAGCAGGGAACAAGGGGGGCTGCAGTATGGCAGCTCCTGTGGAAACGGCTCAGTTATGGGGCCAGAAAACGAAAAAGTAGAACCAGTTAGCAATTCTCTCACCTTTTTTTCTGACCCTCAATAAGAGCAACTTGGCAAAGAACGGGATGTTGCAGACATTGCCTGAAATGTTTTAGATTAGAACCATTACAAGTCAGCTATAACTTTTTCTTTGGGCATGCATTGAGTTAATTGGGGAATCAACAATCCTTTATACATAGTTTTGGGTGTTTGCCTTCATTTCTATCAATGTAGAGTATGGAAGACATAATCCCAAGGCTTTGAGCTTAGTGACAAATGGACAAGTGGATTCTTTATGCCCCTAGTTGTTCCCCTTGGATTTGAATATCTGTCAGCATGGTCCAGCAGTGGTGTAAAACTTCAGGTTACAAATTTCCATGTTACCCACCCCACCCTTCACCTCGCTTCCCTGCCCAAACTTCATGATACTACAAAAGTGGAGAGCACTTCTTGTAAAGCTCATGAGGGAAAGAGGAGTTTGTTAAATTTAATCAATGTTATGAAGTCTGTTCCCCCACCACACCCCCCTCTCCCCCCAGCAATCCAGTCAGTACACGGTGCATGACGCAAGACTGACTTAATGAGTTAATTTCATTTCTTAGACTGAAATTATTATTAATATGTGTGTTCAGTAATTCTCAGCATCTCATTTTCCAAGTAGGCTGATCCTATAGGAAAATGTACTTTGAAAACCACAACAGAAGCAGCTCAGGAGATGGGAATCTGTGAAGTTGATTAACCAAGATGAAAGCTGCCAGCTCAGGGTGTTTCTGAATTGCCTCTGCAGGAGAATCAAATCTCCACAGGCGTGAGTGAGTCCATAGTAGAAATGCCTGCTGACTTTTCTGTGTGCTGCTTGCAAAATGGGAGAGCTGGGAAGGACATGGCTCTGCCCTGCTAGTGTGGAGGGCAGGCCTGTTGAAAGGCAAAGTCTCTGCTGCAGGTTACCATCAGACCTCTGTGTGACACAAAAAAAGGACTCTTAGAAATTGAGTTTTCTTCCCAAAGGCTTCTTGCCCAGGTCCTCCCTATGCATTAGCATCCCTGGAAATTGAGTAAGCAAGTTGTCCTCCCCACTTGACTAAAAGGCAGACTGAGGTTCAAAAAAGGTATTTTAATTTCTGCTCCCAGAGTAACATTTCTTCAGGCTCGAGGTGCCAAGATTGCAACATTTCAACTTTCACATTCCTCAGCTGACTTGCCAACACAGAAATCGTGGTTTTCCCTCCTCTCTTTTTCCATCTTGTTTATGAAATTTGATTAGCTCCTTTGTTTAGGTTAAGCCCAGACTATTGATACTACTTTTCATAAAAAGAAAATGGGGGTCAAAAGCAGGGTTGCCCTAGAACCAGCAGGGAACAGAGAAGGAGACCAATGTGCTACTATTGTTGCTTGGAGTTGGAACCTATGGCTGCCGCAGGACCAGAGCAGGCTCCAGTCGGACCCTGGTTCTGGTTTTATTCGGTTAGTATTAGTTGAGCATCCATTGGATGCATGGCACCATGCTTAGTGTGGGCAATCTGAGTAGAATATTGTTTTTTTTCCTAAACTAGAGGGAAGAAAAATTCATTAGGCTTTCCCTTTGTGTCGATAAAACCAAAAGTGCTTCTTATAACTTTAGCTCCATTCATGGCTTGTGTATCTAACATCTCGCGGTATTGGAGAGGCCACAGTTGAGTGATGGAGATTTATCAGCTCATGGCCTCAATCCATTCACTCTTTAATTTCCTCACCAAATTATCAACTCAGAGCATAACCAAAGACCTCATCCATTCAGCCCTAGTAGGTTCAGGGAATTGGAGTTTACGTGGGCAAGGGGAAGGGGACCAGGGCAGTGGTAAAGGGAGAGGTGAGAAAAGGGGGAAGTTTTATACCTCAGCCAGCAGAACTGAAGTCCAGCTGGTTGACTACACCCCTGTACCACACAAGGCTTCATAGCCTTGGTCGCCATGGATCACTTCCAGATCCCCCCGGGACATTAGTCTCTGGCTGCTGGTGGGTTGATTTGACATGAATCAAGTATAACTGAACTTGATGCCCACAAGTTCTCAGCTGGGCCTGACCGGGTACTGCCCCAACTCCTATCACAGTAGCATCACTAAAGTCACAATTTGCACTGGAGGACCAGTGTGTACAAAAGAGGTGTCCCCTTTATCAAAAAGATTTTCAAGTGGATATATATATAAAGAAACAGTCACTTGTGAAATATACTTTTGTAAATAATATATTTGGTGCTGTTTTCTCAGATCCCCTGAGAGCACTTTTTGTTTGTAAATTCTATGGTTTCCTCTGCATTTCTTAGAAGTATATTTTAAGGGAAACACTGATCACCAATATACTTTTTATTTTTTAAAAGGTCCATCATTTTAGTCTGGACCGAGGCGCTAAAACTAGGCCTCTCTGCATTTTTTCCAATGGGATAGACTCTGCAGTACATTACCATGTTGAAAGTTAAAATACTTTCTTGCACCAGTATTGGCTAGAAAAGAAAATAAATAAAAATCAAGTAAATTTAGTAACAGCCTTGAATGATTCCTTTTGGAAGAATTTCTGACTAATTGGAATCTTGTTTGTGTGTGTGTGTGTGTGTGTGTGTGTGTGTGTGTAAAAAGCTCTTTGGATGGTGCCTGTTGTTTTCCTTTTTTATTGAGGACACTAACTACAGTTTACACCTCGGTCTCATGAGGTTTTTCTTCCCCTTCTGTCTGGCTGTTTTTGTTTGAGCGGACCAACAGCACAAACGACATGGTTTTTGTTTTCCTGAGCAGGGAGCTGTTGTCGACTTGCCTCCTATTCCCTTTTGTGTATGCTCAGCTTTTATAAGCTGTAGAGGAAATGTGTTGTTTGGAAGATCAAGCAGAGTCAAATCCGTGCTTCTCACTGAGATGTGAGCTTATTAATCATGTATCCCAGGGCTCCACTTGTTTTAGAAGCCACATCGTGTTAAACTTTAACTGGTTTGGGTTGAAAGATCATTAATAAAAAAATACACATACCTTGTAGGTAAACACTTTAAAAAAAAAAAAAAAGATTGCCTCAGGTTAAGGAAGAGGCTGAGAAATCAGATCTTGACACAATCAATTTCCATATTTTAATAGAATCTGCCTCAAATGAGAAAACTTGCTAGTCCGCTAGATAGAGGAGAGGCGTTGAATTTTTTAAATTAAAATACAGTCATGAAATTTACCAACAGTAAAAGGTAAAACCAAGAGGAACCAAGTCATTCTTGTGTTACCAGATTCTATCTGCCCCTGTGTTTTTTTAATATAACCTTTGGGTGAAAGTGGGAGTCGGTTTCCCTTTTTCCAACCTGCAGAGACTATCTTTCAATACAGAATCTATTTATGCTTGTGTTTACAAACTAATTGTTGGGTCGGGATTGGGTTTTGTTTGTGGGGTTTTTTTTGTGTGTTTTTTTTTTTTTTTTCCTTCCTTTTTTGGCATTTTTCAGGTCACTTTGCTTCAATAACAAAGGTAATTGTTTTCAAATAATATGTCTTCACCTTTTCCTGTATTTGTACATAGTGATTCAGTATTAGAGAAAAGTACATTGTTTCTGTCATATTTCCAATCTGTGTTGGTGCTCATTTGAGAAAATAAAGTTTTCAAATATGAACTCTTTGGAGGACTCATATGTCATCATTGATACAGCCTGTTTTACCTTTATCTTCAACGCTTAAAGTGCAGACGGGCCTGTACATCATTTAGTCTAACCCATTTCACACATCGAAAACTTGAAAGCCTGACTAGTTATTTTCCCAAGGACCACCAGCCAATTAATGAATAAAAATCAGGCCTGTCACTTAGTAGCAAATGCCTTTTCGTAGTTGGTTGTTGTTAAGTGCCATCGCGTCGGTTCCAACTCATAGTGACCCCTTAGAGGGTTTCTGAGGAGCAGCTAGTGAATTTGAATTGCCAACCATGTGGTTCAAACTGACCTTGCAGTCCAGTGCTTTATCTGACTGCTCCACACCAGGACTCCTATCGTAAATGCATGAGTGACTTTCCCTCAGTTCTGTGAAGCACCATGTTCTATACATTTATTTTTGACAACACCAGTTTCTTTGGTGGAGAAATTTTTGCACTGGGTGCAGGGTGGCGGTGGTATACCTGACCAAACCATAGTATTTTCACTCATCTCTTAGGCATTGGAAAGCTGAACAATGAAAAAGGAAGACTTGAGGAAGAATTGATGCATTTGAATTGTGGTGCTAATGAAGAATACTGAATATACTGTGGACTGCCAGAATAATGAACAAACCTGTCTTGAAAGAAGTACAGCCAGCCAGGATGCTCCTTTAGAATCAAGGATGGTACAACTTTGTCTCAGTTACTTGGACATGCCATCA